TAAGAAGAATAATCAAAGAAAGCATCTTCAAATTGCCCATAACTTTCCATCGTATCTTCTGTTTATTGCATTCATTTTGTTTTGCCCTTGGCACAGCTTCACTCAGATTTCCATTTTACAAAGTTCTTTTATTCGGGATACATCATCACCAGTTCTCCTCCAGTTAATACATTCTTCACTGCCGTACTATGAAGTTGAATGTAAAATGTGATTGCATATGCAGTTTACACAGGATCTGAAAATAAGTGGTGAGATAATTGGTGGGAAGAGACACAGCCACTCTGAGGGCTCAATTTAGAGAATTGGGCAGAAGAACACAATGCTTGTTTGCTAATTGAGAGCAATTAACAGCTAAAATTTGCAACAGTTCTCTAATGCATGATAGTGTGCTTAGTATGTTCACTGAGACCCCAGCATGTAGAGGACCGATATTTCTGCATGCCTTTTTTTTTGTACTGTACCCTTAAAATGAGAAATGATGGAATTATGAATACAGCTTTTGTCAGGGACCTTCAACATCAAGAAGGGGTTTACAAAGTAATAATTTTGTTTCTATTATCTTGAAGCATAACACACATTTTTCATGCGGGAAGGGAGGAGTGTCTGCTCAACTTTCTGCCCCAATATTCAGTGCCATTAATCTCCCAGATGTCTCCATCAGCAGTCTTTCTTGCTGCGAAAAAGACAACTCCAACTATTGAAAATGAGGATTAAGATGCTGAAGTGGCTGCCTGGCACATCTGGAGCATATTAAGACAGATATACTGACAAGGAAAGCCTGCTTCCAATCTGTAGCAAGAAAAGGCTTAACCCCTGGGCTGGGGCGGGCATAGTGGAGGGAACAATCACAGCTTTGTGGTAGATTTACTGGACTGGGAACAGTGAATAGATCCACAATCTCAAGTGGAAAACAATCATGAACAAAACCAACCTTTCATACAAGAGAAAAATAGGCTGAAGTTCCAACGCAGCAGGGAACTGAACAGGGAACCTAAACCATCTCAAAACCCTTGGTGATCTGTCTTCACTTAGGATGATTTCATACATTACAGAAAAGAAATCTGAAGCTTTGTGTCAATTAACAATGACACAAGAAATTCTAAGAATTCAAAGAACTGGTACATGTAGTTTAAACTGCATTTTCCACTCCCAGATAATCATTCTTCAAGAGAGATTTCTTGCACCAAACAGCCTTGTCTTCCATCTCTAATTCTCCTCTGTTTCTTCCTCTTTTATCTGTCCTTTATAGTATCATTATATCACAGAAAGTCTATTTAAGGCTTAATGTATTTTGGGAGTTACCCTCCTCGGAATTTCACATGAATAACATGAACAAATTAATATCAGTCTAGCAGTCATTTGATATTGATGATCAAGGTCATCTTGTCCTTCTTTTGTATTAGAAATGGCCCATTCAAATGTTGAGCCACTGCTGATGAAAAGCATAGCCATTTACACAGAAGGCAGTCAACTATCAAGGAAGCAAGATTGTTTGATACTCATGAGCGTGTGAATGTGAGAACCTGTGTTTCAATTTCCTGCAAGGTGCTTTTTCAAGTGGCAACTGGACTTTCTGGTTTTTCTTTGAAGACGTTTGGCTTTTCATCCAAGAAGCTTCTTCGGCTCAGAGCTGAAGTTGCCTCTTGAAAAAGCACCTTTGGGACAACCATGCTCTGAATGACTGAGAATCTCCAAAGACTTCCTGCAAGGTTCTTTCATAAAGCAACCTTAATAGAAGTCAGTATCTCAATGTTTCTGCTTGCATTAAGGTTGGAATTGATGAACCTTCTCTCACTTCAAATTTTTCTGAAACCAATTTTTTTCCCTTAAGGTGTACAGGTAGGCCTTGACTTACAACGGTTCAGTTAGTGACTGTTCAAAATTACAACGGCACTGGAAAAAGTGATTTATGACCATTGTCCACACTTATGACCATTGTAGCATCCCCATAGTCACGTGATTTACATTCAGATGTTTGACAACTGGTTCACATTTATGACAGTTGTAGTGTCCTGAGGCCGTGTGATCATCTTTTGTGATCTTCTGACAAGCAAAGTCAATGGGGAAACCAGACTCATTTAACAATGGTGTTACTAATTTAACAATTGCAGTGATTCACTTAACAAATGTCACAAGAAAAGTCATAAAATGGGCAAAAATCATCTAACAATTTTTTCACTTAACAACATAAATTTTGGGCTCAATTGTGGTCGTAAGTTTATTGATTGATTGATTGATTGATTGATTGTTCAAATTTATATACTGCCCTTCTCTCGAAGGACTCAGGGCGGTGAACAGCAAAGATAAAAATACATAGAATACAAAATTTAAAAATAGTTTAAAACAGATTAAATAGTATTAGCCCATGACAATTAAAACACCCCCAATTTAAAATTAAATTAAGAACTAAATTACTCAATTAAAAGAGTTAGGCCAGCCCGGCTTGTTGGAATAGAAAGGTCTTGAGGGCGCGGCGGAAGGTGCGTAGATCTGGAATCCTCCTTATCTCCGGGGGCAATTCGTTCCATAGGGCAGGTGCCCCCACAGAGAAGGCTCTCCCCCTGGGAGAGTTGAGAACTACATGTATATTTTGATGAACGATCACTAATAAATGTATTTGTGTTTACATCTTTCAAGTGTGTGTGGGGGGGGGGTGAGGTCAAGGGCATCTTTGAATCAGGTTTGACTGCTGGAAACTGTCTGGGCAAGACCCTGAAGTTCTCTTGGCAAGATTTTGGAAACTGGTTTGCCTTTGCCTGCTTCCTCAGGCTGAGTGAGATTGACAGGCTCAAGGTCACTCAGCTGGTTTTGTGCCTAATACAGAACTAGACTCATGGTATCCAGGTTTCTAGCTTAAGCACTACACCAATATACACCAATATGGCTGTCAATCCTAAAATTACATTACAAAGGAAGAACAACCAAAGACTAATGTGTTTTGCTCTGAAGGAAATGGGGAAATTAGGTGACATCCCATTAAAATGCAAAGTGAATGAATTTCTCTCTATTCTTGAGATTGCCTCTAATGTTGTAGTAACCATCATTCTTCAGCTGCTTTTAGAAAATGACACAGTAGACCCTGCCCCCTTGAGGGCAAGCAAGAAAATGCATCTGACTCCTTACTGCTTAAGAAGGGTGAGGGTGTTTCCAAAGCGATCCTTACTGTCTAATATTCTGCTTCATTCATGTTATCTTGCTTGTGCAGTGATGATTAACTCTATTGCATTTTCCCAGGAGTTCATCCACTTTTTAATGCCTAAAGCCATTAAGGTGGGGCAGTTGAGAAAGTTGCACGGTGATTACGGTAGAATTGGTCTTCACGGAAGCAGAGAGATGTTTTGTGAAGAGAGAGAGAGAGAAGTATCTCATAGAAATAAGATATGCAATCTCGGATACATATTCATATATTTAGACTGCTCTAAATATAATTTGGCAGATGTGAAGACTGAAAAAATTGCACGTGATGTATATTAGAAGGCTAATATGGTTCAAAAGTTGTAATCTTGCATACCTATTTAGAAGAAAGCTCCATTAGAGTTTCTCCTAAGTAAGGAGAAACTAAACTAAACTTGAATTAAAATTGAAATTGAACTAAAATTGAAATCAATATATCAACAGGACTACTGAAGTTTCACCTAATCTTCTTTATATGTGTATGTATTTGTGCATATTTTGTCTACATTTCTGCTTGCTTATCTTCTTTAGCTGTTTTGCACAACTGTAACTAGGTATTAATTCCAAAAAACATAACCAGAAAGTGTGATATCTGTAGGTAATGGGAACTGTAATCCAATGTAGTCATAAATACTAGGATGGTGGAGCTGAGCTGCTTTTCCAGCCTGGGTTAATCTCTTGTGGATGGAGGTACTGTTCTAAACTAACGCCAGCCATAGTTTAATATCAACATTGTCCCAATGAGTTACTGCCAAGCTCATTCACAAAGAATTCCGCAAAGGCCATACTTTAATAATCGAAGCACTGAAGCTTACAATTATGAGCGCTTATGATTAATTGGAGCTTACAGCTCTGACATTAAATCAAAATGAATTCTGGCTCAGATGTACATGGAAGCAGAGAACTGGTAATCCTAAATTGGGGCCATCTATATGATTATAATGATAACTTTTTCCACAGTTGACAAAGGCATCAGATTTTGCACCCTTACAGAACAGTATACCCGGTGCTATTATGTTATTATGTTTGTAAAACTCAGTTGCGTACACTTGACATTGTCAGTTTTAGTGTTGTTTTAGTAAGGAGCTTCCCAAATATTTTAGATGGTACCACCTTTGACCTTTTAAAAATACATGACCACTCAAAAAAAATGGTGACCTTGGGGAAAAGCTTTGTTTACTTCCAAAATGGCTGCCACTGAGTGCTGCCATTTACAAATCATGAGTTTATCTGAAGAGAAACCAATGAGGTAGCTTTCTGCCACTTTCCATTGCAACCCAGGATTCTCATGTTCAACTGAAAAATTACTTCTGCCTTTTTTCTGGATATGTAAGCATACTTATAAACAAAATACTGAGTTAAAGCCATTTGCCACCTTCATTTTCTAAGAATGTGTATCATTCAGTCTATGTCTGTTGTAATTTCTTCTAAGATTAGATTAGATGGATAGATGGATAGATGGATAGATGGATAGATGGATAGATGGATAGATAGATAGATAGATAGATAGATAGATAGATAGATAGATAGATAGGGATGGATGGATATATTTTAAAATTTCAGTGTTACCACCCCCTATCACCAATTAGAAACGTAGAGTTCTTGTGCTGAAGTTATCTCCTCTCTAAATCAGAGATCTGTAATCTACTAACAGTTTTAGTAGCAAAGTATCTTAGGCAAAGGGAGAGGTTATTGTGTTCTTTCATTTATTCACAGAGCCATTTGATTTTGGCACAGCTATTCAATGTAACATATTAATATTTAACATAGGATGTAGGCCACTTCTGTCTAGAAGTCCATCAAGAAAACTCTATGCTTATTTACAGAACAGTGGTCCAGTATCAGCTTGCATTCCAGCTGTCCATCTTCAGTGTCACTTGGACAAGCCAGCTGCCAGTTTTTCAAACCACAATTTGAACATCTCTGCAGTAATTTGTTCTTTCATCATAGAATTTGCCAGCCCACTCCAAAGAAAGTATCCATAGGGCAAATGAACTTGGGTTTAACAACACAGCACATCAACTGCATATATTAGATTCTGAGCATGATGTTTTACATCTACAGACTACAGCAAATAATAGAGGTAAGATTTTTATCCCAGGATCTCAGCGAACAATCTATAACCATTGTTTCTATTGGTCTTGTGTCAATGTATGGCAATTATACGATCTGTCACAAAGCCCGGAAAATTGTCTGAGCCATTCAACAGAGGGTTAGTTGACTACGTGGTTGAATCAAGAGTCTCCTTGTCTAAATATCATTCATTGATCAAGTTGACAATTACTGTAGCAAAATAAAGCTTTGTCCCATTATAGATGTTACACAGCCCTATGATATTGATAAAAAATGATGAGTTTTATCTTCAAGGAGTGCTATATAACAATGAAAAAAAATGAAGGTAGATTATCTATCTGGGCATGCTTATATCAAGATATATTAATAACATTTAGTCATTATCCTTTATCATACAGAAAAAATACTGCTTGATCTTTTAAGGGAGAATCTTTATTTGAAATAGTCATAACCGGATATGGCCCATTTCCCCACCTTCTTTAATGTTTCCACTATATTGAATTTTAGACTGTAAACCGTTTGGAGCAAGAAACTGTTTCTTCATACTCAAGAAAGAACCATAAGCATTTATGGCATAAAGAAAAAAAATGCCAATTCTTGTTTCTCTGTGTTTCTTACTAGTTTTCTAGGAACATGCATAGTTTTTTGCTAACAAAACCATGGCATTTTCCCATTACCATGTGATACAAAAAGCTTATTAATTTAGCAGCTATACCAGCATTGAAACTTAGGCAGCCAAGATCAACTCAATTGGAATATTCAGTTGTGTCCATTGTGCACCCTTCACCATTCAATGTCTGAGCATTCTGTTTTAAGGGTCTAAGATTCTCAAGCATCCATATCATCATTGCCCCAAAGGTGCTTTTCAAAAGGCAACTAGACTTTCTTGGGGGTTTTTTTTCTTGAAAACATTTTGCTTCTTATTCAAGAAGCTTCTTCAGTTCTTGGATGAGAAGCGAAATATTTTCAATGAAATAAAAAACCAAGAAAGTCCATTTGCCTTTTGAAAAGCAACTTTGGGACGTTCTGTTTAAAGGGAGAGCTGCCCTGGCCTCTGTCTTGGTTAAAGATTTCCAGCAGCGCATCTTTTCTACTGTTTAATTATTTTAGTTAGTTCTCACCAAAGCATATACCCACACACATATACCCACATACCAATCCATTAAAAAAAATGTGAATAGCCTTCTAACAGCTGAAGGTACAGAAGGTTCAGACCAGAGATGGGTTTCAGCAGGTTCTGACCAGTTCTGGAGAACTGGTAGCGGAAATTTTGAGTAGTTCGGAGAAGCAGTAAATACAACCTCTGACTGGCCCCGCCCCCATCTATTCTCTGCCTCCTGAGTCTCAGCTGATCGGGAGGAAATGGGGATTTTGCAGTAACCTTCCCCTGGAGTGGGATGGGAATGGAGATTTTACAGTATCCTTCCCCTGCCACTCCCACCAAGCCATGCCAGCCAACCAAGCCACACCCACAGAACTGGTGGTAAAAAATTTTAAAACCCACCACTGGTTCAGACCTTCTCAAATGGTGAACAATCCTCTTAATCATCATCTCAGACAAATATTTGTGCATTATTCATTGTAATATGAAATAATTTATTTGTGGTTTGTGTCATTCACAAGATTCATGTGAATTTCTCATGAAGGCATGCAGAACGTAAAAACTGCATGCATAAGCATCTCATGGGAGGGCAAATGATGGCATGTTCATCGTGATGGCATGATACAGGCATGCCTTATGTACTTATATCAGATGTCATGATGAAAGTATTACTATATTTTTCGGAGTATAAGATGCATCGGAGTATAAGACACAGCTTAGTTTTGGGGGAGGAAAATAGGGGAAAAAAATCTATCAGTTATTCATCATAGATTGATTCTCTTGTTTGATGCTTTCAAAGAGTGTCTCTTTAGTGGTCATTCAGATTTTTGCTGCTCCTTTCTGATTGCCCTAGTATTACCAATTAAGTAATGAACCTGCAGTATATTTTGATGGCAGAAAGAACATTTTGAAAATGAAATCTACAGTATATTACTGGGATCTGATCCTAACCTAACCTCACCAATAACTGGTTAACTTAAAACCTATTATCATAAATTGTGTAACCTATGACAAGAAAAAGAGTACGTGGAGGAAGGGGTCTATTCACTAAAATAGAATGTGTTGCTTTTTACCATCTTTAATACAGCCACAGGCATCGGAGTTAAACATAGAGCAGTGCCTCTTCTGCTCTGCCCCATGGAATGCAGTTCTGAGGAGTCCAAAGATGCCTCCTTGGGTATCAATTTTCTTAGACAATCTCCTACCCAATGCTGGATATTCTTAGCAATTGCTGTAATTGACTTAGGACTCTCCAAGTCTCCTCTAAGAGATCTAGAGAATTCAGGACAGCTGAAGATGAACATGCAAAGGAAAGGCTGTAGCTCACTGGCCCCATAAAGCAAGTCTTAATCAACGGCCATATATGGGCAGCCTCCAGATATTGGGAACAAGAAGCCAGAGCAGGAGGCAACCTTGAAAGTTGGGCAGAGATAATTAATCGTGTGTGTAAGGAGCTATTTTCTAGTCCACGAGCTCATAGCTCGAGCCACAAAAATGGTGAGACGGCTTCACACAACGCCAGCCACACTTCCTTGCAATCTGTGTTCTCTCTAATTGCATCCAGTTTTGATTTATGCAAAATGCAGAAGTTCAATTATCGACTGGAACTAATGGCAGAGCATATTTGTCACGCATGCTGAGACAACCCCCTTGGTTATCATATTTGTTAGAGGCACTATTTAAATCTGCACTTTTGCCAGTCCATTTATTCTCCATCTAAGGTGACTTTTGGGGAAGCAGAATTGCTGGAAATTTAGGGGAAGGCACATTTGTCGAGAAAAGTCTTCTTCAGAGGGGGAGGAAGGTTGGTAACCAAACAATAACCAAAACTCCTTTCTATTTCTATGGGACATTTTGTCCTGAGTTAGTCAGGAATGCCACTCCAGTTTTAGAGAATAATCTGGCCAAAAATGTTAAGCAGCAACAATTTATTTATGCCCAGCCTTTATTGTTTTTACAAACAACTCAAGGTGACAAAAGTATGCAACAAACCTTCCTCCTCTTATTTTCTCCACAGCAACCCTTTGACGTGGATTGGGCTGAAAGACAATGATTGTTCCAAGGTTACCCAGCTGGCTAAGGCAGGACTTGAATTCATTTTCCCTCTTTCTAGCCTGGTGCCTTAACCACTGGCTCTGTTTTGTTTCAAAAAAAAAAAAAAAAAAGTCTTCAGATGGGCATGCACCAATCTCCCAGACCTGTACTAGGGATTCAAATCTTCAAACTGCCGACCTTTCTGATCAACAAGCTCAGTGTCTTAGCCACTGAGCCACCTACTCAGTATTTTTGCTCATTTTTATTTTCATGTTTTTGATGTAGGTTTCTCTGCTTCTTCTAGAAATGAAGAAGCTGGTGCCTGTGCTCAACCTTATACTTTTATCACGAAGCATTTGAATACTAGTTTAAGATTTTTGTGGATGTCAATGAACTCATTCTTTAAAGCGACCAAGCGGTTTTCTCCAGTTGCAGTTATAACCATAGCAAAGACACACCCTGGTAATCTCTCTCTCTCTCTCTCTCTCTCTCTCTCTCTCTCTCTCTCTCTCTGTGTGTGTGTGTGTGTGTGTGTGTGTGTGTGTGTGTGTGTGTGTGTGTGCCATATCCTGTGCCAACACCAAGAAAACATTATGAGCCCAAGAGGGAAGCAAGTTTAAATCATCCTTAGTTATAACGAAGTTCCCTCATTCTGATGGGCAGAATCTCTAAGGCTTTCACCAATTTCCTTGGAAGGAAAGAGAGAGGTGACTGCAGTGAATGAGAACAGAGGAAACTGAGACAGAGATAAGGACTGGGAAGCAGGTCCAGCAAAGGTTATGCTGCTAGTTTTCTGCCAAATGTACCAAGTGGTGCAGCCAATTTTATTCTGTGTCCTCACAACACTTTGTTCGCCTCAGCCTCACATCATGTTTTGCATAGCTTTATCCTTGCTTCTCATTAAGTAACTACAAAATACAGAGAGCTAAAATAGTCTAGAAAATGTATATTTATGCCAGCAGGTCTTCCTTTCACAACAGGAAGAGCTGGATTAGGCTAAGAGTCTATGGTTTTGTAACTGTATTTGCATGATATGCTTAGACATAGTTAATTTCATCGGGTTAAAGCTACTGTATCTGTACTGCCAAAATCCAGACCATTACTAGGTGGCAACCTTAAACTAACTACATATACTAGTACACATGCACAACATAGTTAGCTCAACTATGTTGGCTATTTTATGATTGAATGTGTTTCATAAGTGTAATCAATATTAAAAATGGATTGGAATAGCCAGGTATGTTAGATTTCAAAATCATTCATCCATTTAGGATGGCCATAGGCCATATTAGCTGCAGATTATGAGAGTTCTAATCCAATATACTGTACATGAAGACTATTCAATTAGGGAAGGCTGGGCATTGTTTTTTTAGTTTGTTGCATTTTGTTGATGTTTTATCTGCTGTATTTGTTATTTCTAATAACTTAGGAGACCATTTTCCAACCAAGGCATTATTGTGTGCTCCCCAGCAATGGTTTGGATGTTAAGGGGGGTGGGGTGGGAATCACCCAAAGGATTTACAGGATTTGGCATTATTTTTCCTTGGATGATCAGAAGAATTTTCCTGATCTAATATAAATTGGTTCTAAATCTTTGAAAAAATGCTGTACCTTCATAGTAATAATAGTATTGCTCACAATATCGTGCTAGATTCTGTTTGTATTGTATTGACATTAATTTATTCCCAAAACTGTCATCTTAACTAATATATAAATTTGAAATTGTGACTGTTGTTGCATTTGAGATCTTAGAAATAATCCCAACTAATTGAAGCTATTTAATGTACAGGAGTTTGGAAAGACATAGCATTATATTTATGGTATGTTATGGTATGGTATGGTATGGTATGGTATGGTATGGTATGGTATGGTATGGTATGGTATGGTATGGTGATATACATTCTGCACGCATCCATCCATAAATAAACCAAAATGCATCATTTATAAATAAACAAAGAGTGAATAAGACTGAGATATCTACGGAGATTCACAGTCAACCAGGTCATGGTTGTCTCAAAGGTGCTTTTTCAAAAGGCAACTGGACTTTGTTTTCTCCAAGGAAAAACAGAGTCTAGTTGCCTTTTGAAAAAGCACAAGACTGAAGTATTAACAGCCTTGGGGAAAGTCCCAGTATTTTCAAAACAACAGTTTTAAAAGTTAGAAAATAGAGGAAGTAAGACAACTATGAGGCTGCAGCATGTGCAGCGACTATCAAATACTGTTTTGTGAGAAGATGACCAAAATGGAAAAGGGGAAGGAGAAATCCTGAAAAAGGATATGCAGTTATTCTGGAACCTACTGCAACGTTTTGTTGTAGATCCCACTTCTCTTGTATTTCTGACTCAGCCCTTTTTGCTCACACCTCTTGCTGAAGAGCTAAAGTGAGTTAAAGAAAGGGAAGCCCACTTCAGATTCTTGCAATTCTTTTAGACCATTGCTTGTCTACAGCAGATATAATTACCTCAGGTTAAGCCAATATTCAAAGAAAATGCAAAGGAAATATATTAAAACACACATGTGTGCATGTACACACACACACACACACAATATTTGATAGTGCATGCACTTGTAATGTTTACATGTTTGCTTGGGGGTATGGCCCACTAAATACAGCAGAACCTCAGTTCTGATTTGATAGTCACAAGATTACAGTCTGAGCTTCTTCCAGCAACTTTTATTCATATGGTATTTCCAAGCAAGACTTTTTATCATGCATTGATTTTTCTTCATCTCCATTATGGAATTCTGCAGAAGGGAAGGTATCCAGACACCATCATTTTTACTATAAGCATATCCTTCCCATATTTTTCTACAACATGTCTTCCATCTTTTTTTCCTATGAAAGAAAAGAGATCGAAAATCCCACACAAAACTTTTGACTGCAGCTGTAGGGGACATCTGGGTCTGCAGGTACCCATTTTCTCATACACACAAATCCTTTTTCATTTATATTTCAGTTTTACTAAGTACAGTCATTTTCATTCAAATATAAAGTTCAATATGCAGTTTATGTTGTCCTGTTTCAAGAAACCTGCATTTATATTAGTTTAAAATTAAGATGAAAATAGACTTCTTAAAGGGGGTAAAAACCCCAAAGGCTGCTTTGCCTAAATAAAGTATACCAGTTTTAAACTTTTGTCATAAAAAACAACAACCCAACTATGGAAAACTTCACAGTTTTATCCAAAGGTCCATTCCTTATATTTTGAAGATATATAATATGTGGCTTCTGCCCTAGATATCCAAAGTGATTACTGCAAAAATGCAAAAATATGGAAGAATTGTCAGTGTTTTTTGAAAATCAAATAATCATGTGTGCAAATAACCTCTTAAGTGCATGTTGCTCAAATGATTTATCTAGGCCCAAAGGATGAAGTCTACATGAGTTCCACAAATACTCGCTGGCCACACTCACCAGCTATAACCACCACCTAATTAGTGGGAGATCTTCACCAGGTAAGGATCCAATGAAACAAGTTGACCAGCATGGGGGAGACATGCACCAACATGGCTGAAGAAATCATGCGACTCTCTCATTACAAGGGGCCTTCTCATATGCTTCCCCTAAGAAGCACTGCAGGTCTGCAGATGAGTCAGAGGTAGTCAGTCATGCCTTTGTGCTGAAGATTTGTTGAATGTGTTAGAAAATATGTGGTGACTGCTAACAGATACTCCACAGTGTGAAAACTGTCCATTTGAACATTATGAATTAGGACTATGCATGCTTTGAAAATGAGTCACAGAAGTGTTTCAAATCTGCAACTCCAGCTCATCTCTGCTATTCATTGAAACAGCCATGGTTTTCTCTTCCTCTTCCTCCTCCGCCTTTTTTTTATTGCTAAGCTTCTACAAACTGCTTTAAGAATCACATCAATCATTAATGCATTAAAGCAGCTGTATTTTTTTTCTTTTTTAAAAAAACAGGCATGGCTGCTGGGATTGTCACAGAGAGAAACTGAACTCATGCAAGGCGCTGAAAAGCATTTCTGAATAAATGTGAAAGTGTAGACTGCCATAATTGCTTTCTGAGTTGGTTGGTTGATTGATTGAATATAATTTCAGTTACTCTTCCCTCAGTGGGGAGAGGAAATAGATCCCCAGTCTTGAACCAGTGTGATCATTTCTCAGGTATATCAATCAATATGGATAATTCTAAAACTGTTATCTTCAAATCCTTCCAGACTGCCATTTTTCAAGATAGCTAAATTTTTAAATGTTGGCTAGTTGGCAAAACTATCTCTGGAATGTGTAAAATGCTTGCTATTCATGAGTACCAAACAATTTCAATGCATCCAGAAGAAAAATCTGAAAAACTAGCTCCCAAATATGATAAGCAGAATCACTTAATACCATCAATATCTTCATAAAGGCTACAGCCATTTTAGTGGAAAGAGAAAGTATCATAAACTAGCCTCTTACTCTGAAAGACTGATGTCTACAGATTTGTTTTTAAGAAAAGGAAAACATAGGATCTGCTTGCATAGTCAATTTCATCTATTTTATGTATTCACAGTGCCACATTTTTTGTTTCTCACAAAGGCTCTGAATGACTGACAATCAGAAAAAAATCATTAAAAAAAACCCTCAGTAAAAATACTACCCTCCCCTAACTCAACATTTATTCAGCCATGTACCTGTCATTTTGAAAACATAAAAGGGAAGTTGGTAGTTAGGAAACAGCACTGACTGGAAGGGAGTCTTTGCAAATCAAGATGAAGTCCTGCAAAGACCTTGAGACTTTCTGTCAGATAACACCTAAGTATATTTGTGCTGCAAAATAGGTTTCTTTTCCTAATACCATACATTGCTTTTTAGAATGTTAAAGGGAGGAGATTGATAATAACCTAATACCAAAAGCAAAATCCAGGGACACTTGAATCAATTCACTGTTGTTATGATTCCAATCTTTATCTCAAGATTAAGTGAATTATCCATTGGGTGCTTTAATGACTACTTTGCAAGGACTGTATTTAAAATGTTAGCAAAATGATTGATCTGTTGTTCTACATTCAGCTTTGATTTTTACTCCAAGTCATTGACTTCATGCTAAACCTATAGATATACAGTATTCAAGCAAAGTAGGGCATGTGACTGATTCTAATCATCTACTCCAAAATGTTACTTTTCATTCATTTGTGATGAGGGGCCAAACCCAAGGCTTGTGCCTATGATACTGGAGGGTCCAGGCAATGGGTTTCCCAAGGGCACTCAAGAATCAAGGCTGTTGAAGAATGCCAACTTGGTTAAATGACAAATTAATGTGCACCCAAAGTTCACACCCATAGCTTTTCATTTGCATAGTGGTCTGTATTTGCTGCTTCTTTGCTCATAGGACACCACTATACCA